TGAATAGTATTCCATCGTGTATATGTACCACATCTTCTTTATCCATTCATCTACTGATGGACACTTAGGTTGCTTCCATATCTTGGCTATTGTAAATAGTGCTGCAATAAACATGGGGGTGTATATGTCTTTTTGAATCTTAGAACTAGTATTCTTTGGGTAAATTCCAAGGAGTGGGATTCCCCGGCCAAATGGTATGTCTATTTTTAGTTTTTTGAGGAACCTCCATACTGCTTTCCACAATGGTTGAACTAATTTACATTCCCACCAGCAGTGTGGAGGGTTCCCCTTTCTTTGCATTCTTGCCAGCATTTGTTGTTCTTAGTCTTTTCGATGCTGGCCATCCTTCCTGGTGTGAGGTGATATCTCATTGTGGTTTTAATCTGCATTTCCCTGATGATTAGTGATGTGGAGCATCTTTTCATGTGTCTGTTGGCCATCTGAATTTCTTCTTTGAAGAATTGTCTCTTCGTATCCTCCGCCCATTTTTTCATCGGTTTATTTGCTTTTTGGGTGTTGAGGCGTGTGAGTTTTTTATATATTTGGGATGTTAACCCGTTGTCAGATCTGTCATTTATGAATATATTCTCCCATACTGTAGGATGCCTTTTTGTTCTGTTGATGGTATCCTTTGCTGTACAGAAGCTTTTTAGTTTGATGTAGTCCCATGTGTTCATTTTTGCTTTTGTTTCCCTTGCCTGGGGAGATATGTTCATGAAGAAGTTGCTCATATTTATGTCCAAGAGATTTTTGCTTATGTTTTTTTCTGAGAGTTTTATGGTTTCATGACTTACATTCGGTCTTCGATCCATTTCGAGTTTACTTTTGTGCATGGGGTTAAACAATAATCCAGTTTCATTCTCTTACATGCAGCTGTCCAGTTTTGTCAACACCAGTTGTTGAAGAGGTTGTCATTTCCCCATTGTATGTCCATAGCTCCTTTATTGTATATTAATTGACTATATTTGGTTGGGTTTATATCTGGGCTCTCTAGTCTGATCCATTGGTCTATGGGTCTGTTCTTGTGCCAGTACCAAATTGTTTTGATTACTGTGGCTTTGTAGTAGAGCTTGAAGTTGGAGAGTATAATTCCCCCAGCTTTATTCTTCTTCTCAGGATTGCTTTGGCTATTCGGGGTCTTCCGTGGTTCCATGTGAATTTTAGAATGATTTGCTCTAGTTCATTGAAGAATGCTATTTTGATAGGAATTGCATTGAATCTGCAGATTGCTTTAGGCAGGATGGCCATTTTAACAATATTAATTCTTCCTTTTCATGAGCAAGGGATGTGTTTCCATTTATTGGTACCTTCTTTAATTTCTCTCATGAGTGTCATGTAGTTTTCAGAGTATAGGTCTTTCACTTCCTTGGTTAGGTTTATTCCTAGGTATTTTATTCTTTTTGATGCAGTTGTGAATGGAACTGTTTTCCTGATTTCTCTTTCTGCTAGTTCATCGTTAGTGTATAGGAATGCAATAGATTTCTGTGTATTAATTTTGTATCCTGCAACTTTGCTGAATTCAGATATTAGTTCTAGTAGTTTTGGAGTGGATTCTTTAGGGTCTGTTATGTACAATATCATGTCATCTGTAAACAGTGACAGTTTAACTTAGGAAGAGAACATTCTTATCACCAGAGCCTGGGGGTTGATGCTGAGAAAGATCTCTACAAACTTACTAAAATTGCCCTAATCTTCCATTACTTCCCCCTATGTATTTCTCAGTCACTTGTCCCACAATTTACAGTCCTCAGCCCCTGTGTCTTGCCACTGTCCCACAGTGTAACATTCTTTATGTGAAGAGGTATGTAAGCTTTTGCACCCAATGGCTTCTTTGAGTGTTCATTTTCCTTCTGGAGACTCCCATGTACACATAGAAATATCAAATAAATGTGTTTGCTTCCCTCCTGTTTATATCTCCTAGGTCAACTCATTCTTAGGCCAGCCACAGAACCCACCAGGGTGGCAGGATGTCTTTCTGCCCTACACAGGGTAAGAAAAGAAGGATCAGCTGAGGGGCAGAGGTTTCCAACCCCACAAAAAGTTCTACTGTTATTCCTATAAGAGGAAAATTGTTTCTGCCCAGAGCAGAAATAGACCCAAATATAAAGGTGGCATTTCAAATTGGGGAGGGGGAGATGAATTACTCAGTAATCAGGGTTGGCAGAGAGGTGACTGAGAGTTCCCCTTCTCCCACCCACCCGCCTAAAATTCACAGGACCTAAAATTCTACCATGACACCAAGTCTGGATCAAGGTGTTGCACTGGACTTAGCAACCCCTTCCTCACAGCAGTGCTAGGTGGTCCCACTTGCTCCCCCAGGCCCAGTACATGGGTGGGTTATGTGCCATTTGGGAGTTGAGGGGCCTGATGCAGAAGGTCGGCACCACCCTGGGAAGCTGGGAAGCTGGGGAATACTACCTGTGTCCTGCAGCTGACCTGGGCAGCAAGAGCGATTTGGGGGTACTAGCCCTGGAGGGACATGCCCCAGTCTTCCATGATGGGTGAGCCCTGGCAAACCCGGGGAGGAACCAGGTGAGGGGGTTGGGCGGAGGGGTGGACCACACTCACAGGAAGGGCACTGTGTGTGTGAGCGGACTATGAGTGTGAGTCTGCCCATACTGTGTCTGCCTCTGGTGGGCCAGGCGTCGAGTGTATGCACCCAGCACGTGCGTGTGCGCCCAGGTGTGCACGTGTCATCCAGCGTGGGGAGAGGAGGGGGAGTCCACGTTGGAAAGGCTGCGCCCTGGTGGATTCGGATCTGCTAGACCACGACTCCTTCGGTCGCTCCCTCCCTTGGCCCCCGGGGCATTCATGGAGGATCTTCACAGTCCCCGAGTCAGTCCTCCCAGATCGCGATGACGCTGGGGAGAAGTGGGGGAAGGGCGAGGCGGGGACGACGCTAGAGGTCTCAGGAGGCGCCCCGGCTCTGAGCGTAAGTGGGGGCCCCCCGCAGAGCCCGAGTACGCTCCCGCTGGGCGGTCCCGGTCTCCAGGGGGCGCCCCCGAGCCAGGGGACGCTCCCTGCTCCAGCGCGGTCCTGCGCCCTTCTTCCCAAAAAGCACCCCTGGGAGGGTGCGTGAGCTGCTGGGGCTTATCCACCCCACCTCCGTCTCGCTGCTCCAGCAGACGTGCCAGTTCCTTCGGTGTCTTCTCACCCGAGCTCTGCACCGCGCCTGCGGGTCGCCCCCTCGGAGGGGAGACAAGGCCGCGGACCCCCCGGGCAGGTGCTGGACCCTCGGGTCGTGGAGCCCCGGGGAAACCGGGATCGAAGCAGAAAGTGCCAGGGGCCGGGCGGACGGCCTGGGGAGGCTGCCGGGGAAGGCCTGGGAGGATCAGAAGTTTGGTGGCTGGAGAAAGTGTGCCAGGCCGAGGGCACAGCGCGAACGAAGGCCCGGAGAGGCGCAGTTTGCAGGCGGCCTGGGAGCCCCGAGAGCTGACGCTGGCCGGGCCGGGTCAGCCGGCCGAGACCTGCGCCCCACGCCCGCGGCTCTGGTCCGGGGCGCCCGCGCTCCCCGGGCGCCCCGGGCTCGCTGCCCCCGCCCTGCGCAGCCTCCGGGCGGCAGCACAGAGCGTCCAGCGCTCACGGCAAAACGCCTCGCTCTTCCTCTCGGCCTCCCTCCCTCGCCACCCCGGGCCCCGGCTTATTCCCCTTCTGCACCTGGCGCTTCCAGCCCCGTCTCCAGTTCTCCCAGCGCCCCAGGGAGCGGGGTTGGCATCCGCGGGGCGTCCCCACCCGACGGGTTCAGGAGGCCATGCAGGTCCGGGCTGAGGACAGGGCCTGGCACAGAGAAGTGCCCAGTAAACGTGGGCCTTTCCTAATAGCTTTCCCCGCCTCCAGTTTCACCCTCTAGAACTTCCTTCCGTCCCGCTCCAGCCGCCCTGCCATCAAAACAGACTCTGCTTACTTTTACTAGAAAGAAGAGAGAGCGGCCCCTCCCTTTCTGTAGTCCACCTGGCTGTAAAACCTCTTAGTAGTCTCCCCTCAGGTAACATTGCTATTTTATGACAAAGTTCCTGCCACCTATCACCTTAAACCGCAGGAGTGGTAGTGGTGGAACTTCAGGCACAGCGCCAGGCGCCTCTGATCCAGCCAGGTGAGGGTGGGGGCCTGGGGCTCTTCGGGTCCAGCCCCCACCACCTCTGTGTTGCCCCGCACACAGGTGCTGGCCCTGGCGGGGGAAGAAAGGGGGGGTGTTCCTGAGCCAAGCTTTCCCCAGGGACATCCTGCAGCACCTGAGCAGGTAAGGCTTGGCCAGGTGAGACCTGGGCAGGTTCTGCTGGAGGGTACAAGCTAAAGCAGGACCTACACCATGTCAGACCACCTGTCTTCCTGGGCAGTGGTGACAAGGGCCCCTTGTGCCCTCTGTGAAATCTTGCCCCATTGGTGATACAATATTGGGATATTAGCTAAACACAAAGGTGGGGTCTGGGCCTGGCTTTGGCACCAACTTTGACCTTGAGCTTGTTGTTTACCTCCCTCAGTTACCTTATTGCCCCCTTAACTGGGCCTCAGTTTCCTCATCTGTAAAATGAATATACCTATTCTTTCTCTGGCAATCTGCCTTTTAATGCTCCAAGCTTCAATGTTTTCAATTGTAATATGAGGTTAATTATAGCCTTTCCTGTCTGCCTTACCGTTTTGCAATCACATCCATTCATCAAATAATAATAAGGAAATGAGAGTGCTTGCTGTATGCTTGGCATTGTGCACAAATCTTGATGCCTGCTGGGGGAGGTAGACATCTATATTACCACCATTCACAGATGAGAAGACTGAGCCAATGGCTCGCTCACTAAGCAGAGTGTGATTCAAACCCAGGCATTCCAGCACCTCTCTGGACACAGTCCACTGCACCAGGGGCTGGGAGCCCCTAATGAATAGTTGAATGAGTAACACTCCAAAATTGCTCTGCCGAGAGAGGGTCTGGCCCAGGTGTTCTGACACACCCAAGTCAGATGGGGGCCTGGAGATGTGTCCACACCCCAACCTGCTCACTGACTCAGATGAGCATTGCAGGTTTTTGTACTGTAACTTGCAAAGGCTTGGATTTTCCATGTACTTTCATCCCTATCTGAGATCTGGGACTTTATGGGTTCCCTGAGCAGTCATAGAGCAGGGTCTTTGGGAGTAAGCTTGGAACTCTGTTGTGTGCTTGAAAAAGCATGAGTTTTATCCTCAGAGACAAAGGAGTTCAAATCGTGACTGTGTGACTATCTCTCTGAGCCTCAACAGCCTCATCTCTAAAATGGGAATATTAACTACAACTTAGTAAGGTGGTTACGTGAATTAGACAAGAAAACTAGATGAGAAAACCTGCAATGTGAACAGGGACCAAGGCAGCTTGACTTGATTTGCCCATTTCCCACATGCGCATCGACACCCTGGAGGAAGATCACAGACACCAGCCCTCAGCCCCAGCTCCCCCTGTGTGACATCACAGGCCATTTTCTCTGGGGAACACTGCTGTGGCTGTTGAAGAAGTCCCAGAAAAAATTAACTTTGCTTGGAAAATACCTTCTTGGTAGCCTTCAGCCGTCTCAGCTTCCCAGGTGCCCTGCTAAGTGCTGGGGTCACTCGCTCTGCTTAATTAAGCTCCTCATGGAAACAGACTGCAGATAAAGAACCTGTTGAAACTGACGCAGTACCTTGGCAGGACAGAGGCACTGGACTGCATGTGTTGAAATATTAATGCAGGTAAGCACCGTGCCAGGCTCTGTCCTGGGCACAAAGACAGCCAAGATGCTTTTTAAACTTTCATTCTGAGATTAATTTTATAACAAAATTGAATTAATTAAAACCCATTGTTAAAAAAAATGAAATTATTCAATAGTTTACATGTTTGAAACCAGCCAAGTCCTGGCTCCTTTATGTTTCCTCCTAATTCTACTTAAAACCCAAACAGTTCCTTTTTTAGCTCTTCATTCCTCTTGTATTTCATCACAGGCAGCTAAGAGAAGCCAGCTGGCAACTTCAATATTCTGCCTGGAAATCACTTTAACTAGATCTACACATTCTTCAGGTAACTTTTCTATCTTCCACATCACCACAGGCAACAATTTTGTAAGCATTGTGGTATAAAGACTAAAATTAAAGCCAACATTATGTACTGCCTTGACATCTGGTGAAATCGGAAGGACCTCAAATGGCCTAATGGCAAGTCCCTGAACCCCAGCTCTGCCCCTGTGGGTGGGTAGGTTCCCCTAGCTCAACAACCGTCCTTAGGGCGTAACCAGGTACGATTCCTGCTTATTTCTGTGTAGCCGGTTTCAATTCCCAGACAGCCTGAGGAATTACATACACAAACAAGCCCATCAATCCTCCCAAAGGACCCAGGGCCACCCCACCCTCTTGATGTGACAAAGCCTGGTTATTTACACTGTTCCCAAGCACAGCCCTGTGTGGCCCTGTGAGGTGTGTGATGTGCTCTTTCCCCAGGTTGGGACTCCATGTAACTCACAAACTGCCGTCCATCTCATCGGGAGTGCTGGTTGCCACGTTTTCAGCCATTCCCAGAACCCTAAGGTGAGGATCCCTCTCTCACCATTGTGGTGAATAGGAGGAGATTAAAACAATGTCTGCGTCTCTCTGACTTGGGTTACTTAACTGGGTCCTATTTTCGTGTGCATCTAGAAGCAATTCCTCAGCAATCTTTAAGTCTCCTCAGGCCCTTCTTACCATTCGGTCTCCAAACCCACTCCACACTTTTAAAGATTTTGTCTCAACAGCACCCTACTTCGACGCATCACACTGTCTGCTGGCCATCTATTGCTGCATAACAAACCAAATTTAGTAGCTTAGGACGGAGAACACTTACTGGCTTACGGTTTGGAAGCTCTTGGGTTCAGCAGGACTGCCTCTCAGCTCCACTTGGCATCAGCTGAGATTGCTGACCACCTGGAAGATCCACTTCCCGGATGACTCACTCACCTGGCAGGGCGGCTCATTCAGCCTCTATGTGGGCTGGCTGTGTGGCTAGCTGGGCTTCCTCACAGCACGGCATATGGGTTAAAGAGGGAGGAAGTGGAAGCTGCCTGTTGCCTTAAAGGTCCGGCCCAGAGTGGCACACCGTAACGTCTGCCACAGTCCTGGGCGCAGCCTGGACTCAGGCAGTTAGAAGGAATCGCCCCACCTTGACAGGCACAGTGGCATGTGTGTGCAGAGAGGAGAGAGACTGTTTGGAGCCATCATCAGAGACCACCTACCACACCCCTGATTTTACATATGAGGAAACTGAGGTTCAGAAATGGGACTGGAGGCTCAGGGGGCAGAGTAATAATAGAAAGCAGTCACTAACTTTTCCTACTTTTCCTACGTGCCCAGTACTATGCTGGGCACGCGTGCATGCAATCCCACAACAATCATAAGAGGGAGGAATAATTATTGTCCCTATTTTATGATGCGGAAACTGAGTCATAAGCTGGCACGTTACTTGCCCAAAGCCATTTGGCTTATTAGGAGAGGAATGAGCGGTCTAGATCAGAGCTCATCCTTGGAACCAGCAGTAATGTCCAAAATTTATTACATTTTTATCTTGGGATGTGGTTTTAGCATTAACGACAGGGTGGAACTATGCCCAAGATGCTAGCAAGTTCCAAATAAAACAAAATGAGACATTCTTCATGCCTCAGCACAGTGCATTCTGGAACATTGTGCCATAGAATGGCCTCTGTTTTCCCATAGGAAAAATACTCTGTGGCAGAAATGTCCAGTTTCTCCCCAGTACCCATTTCTCTCTCTCATATACGAATGGAATTTGTAGCTGGGCACCTGGATGCCCACCTAACCACTATTTTTGCAGTTGCCCCAGCCACTAAGGGAAGAAGGTCTAGTCTATGGCATAAAGAGCAGAAGCGATGGGTGTGATCTCGGGGTTGGGTCTGTGGGTTGAGTGTGGGTGCAGTGGCAGGAGCTCAACAGCTGCTCTGGGCCTTGAGATGGAAGCTGAGTGTGGAGGGACAGAGCAGGGTAGCAGGTGCTTGGGCGTGCAGGTAACTTTGGGGAATAGCTAAACCCTGGAGCCCTGTACCCACTTCTGGCTCCTTACCTGAGAGAAAAATTAAGTTCTACCTTTTTAAGCCCTTGTTAATTTCAGTGTTTGTTTCTGCATCTCAGATTGGATGGTAACTTAGAGACTGTCTTCAGATGGAAGGTTAAGTGCTGGTCCAGCTGGGCCGGTGGGTCTGTGGCCCTTCCCGGAATTCTGTGGCTTTGTCATGGGGAAAGGTTGAGCTGGGCCCAGGGCTTCCAGCAGTTTCTAGGCTTTGGACTGGATGCTGATCTTTTCCTCCCTTTCTTCATGTGAACTATTTTCCCTCAACAATCAATTGACCAAAAGTTGTAAGTGTTTATCTCTGGGCTCTTCAGGAAGTGGCATTTGGTTTCAGTTGCAAACTTTTCTCCATACTGAGAGTTTGAGTTCTGTAATTGAACTGAGGGTAGAACTGCATTTAAAACCCACATGGATCCTAAGAAGCTGTGTCAGATGAATGTTCCTTTCAGTCTCTTTGGGAAGTTGGGACAGTTTATGATCATTTTGCAATGGCCAGAAATACATTTTGTGAAATGCTGTTTTTTTTCCCCACCAAAATGTCATTAAGTTTTTTTTTTGTGTGTGTGTGTGACTCTGATTTTAAAAAAGCTCTGCTTTCCTGGCATGGCGAGAAACAGTCAGGTTTATTTGGCTTCTCTGAGGCCTGCTGGGCTTGTGGGGACTTCCCTGGGGTGTGGAACAGGATGGGGGGACTCTGGGGCAGGAGGAGACAAAAACAGAGCTGAGATGGGGACACTCAGGCAGAGGCAGAAATGGAGAGGACAGAGGCCTGAGGGCCGGGAGCCAACCAGGTACCTGGTTCCAGGGGCACAGCCCCCATGCCCAGGCCTCTCGGACGGGGTGTTCCTGTCCAAGGGGACGTGCCCGATGTGCCTCGCCAGAGACACTGGCCAAACATGGAAGTGGAAATTGGCTGAAGGTCAACATCGAAATGACAGCTGACCACAAACGCATCATCCTGACTCAGAAAGGGCTTGAGATCTTGCAAAGTGCAGTGAATAGAGCCCCTGCCTCCCAGGGAGAGTGTGAGGACTTAAAGAGTAAACATATGTAAAGTGCTTACTGATATCGCCAGGCTGAAAATAAGGGCTTCAAACTCTCAGTCGCCCTGCCGTTGTATCATCACTTCCCCCTTTTAAACAGTTACTCACTGGAATCAGCTGTGGTTTCTTATGACCAAGGATGATTCTCTCATCCAAGTTTAACTGCTATTCAAACAGTGGAGTGATAAAGACAACTAAGGAAAGCTCTCACACTCACCATCTTCTTTTCATCGTTACAAATGTATTAATTGTGGTGAAACATACAACACATAAAATGTATCCTCTCAACCATTTTTAAGTGTATAGTTCAGTAGTGGGAAGCCCTTTACATTGTTTGGGTGCCTCATCATGCTTTATTTTGGATATTATCTTGTAGGACCTTGGGGGTACAGGTCTGCCATTTCACTTCAAGCCTTTAATATCAGCCCTGCTGTTTCCTTCTAGGCCCCAAGATAATGAACTCCTTCTGAGTATCTTAGCTTTCTGGGGTCACATCTCAGGCCTTCAGATCAAGCAGGAGCCACAACTGTCACTCCCCTGACTCCCGGCCCCCAGCCCTGCTCAGCACCCCTGGGGGGCACTGCCGAGTGGGTTTCATTACCTCTCACTCCAGCAGGGTCTCCAAGGGCAAGCTACCATTATTACTATTATTAGTGAGCTTGTCTCTAATGCCTCACCACCCAGAGACAGCTGGTCCGACAGAATGGGGTTTGGCCTACTGAAGACTCAAGCTATGTCCCCATTTGGGAGGCAACACTTAGAAAGGTGGGGTCTGCCTTAGAGGGTGTGCTGTATATGCTGAACCAGAGACCAGTGTGTCCCGTAACAGAACGCACAGCCGGGAACCATGACCCCACCCGATCACCATGCATGGAATTCTTGTTTCCTATTCCGGAAACTTGGAGGGCAGAATGTTTCCACCAGGGAAAGCGATGGTTCTGTGGATTTGAAAGCCAGGACCAAGCCTGCCACCTGGTCCTGTTGGCCTCCTTATCCACTGAACCGAAAAGAAAAAGTACGTATTATATATTTAAAAAATAATAACATTATTGAGATGCTGTAACATTTGCTCAGTAGTTTTTTAGTATATTCACAGAGTTGTGTAACCATCACCTCAAATTTTAGAGCATTTCCATCGACATCAAAAAGAACCCCTGCCCGGATTGGCAGTCACTCCACTCCCCTTCCCCGGGCCCCTGGCAGCCACTGATCTACTTTCTGTCTACGGACTTGCCTATCCTGAACATGTCACATAAATGGAATGACATAGAATGTGCTGTGGCCTTTTCTGTCTGGCATCTTTCACTTAGCATGTTTTCAGGGTTCATCCATGTTATTGTATGTATCAGTACTTTGTTCCTTTTTATTCCTGAAAAACATGCCACTGTACAGACATGTCCGTTCATCAGCTGATGGCTGTTGGGCCTGTTTCCACCTTTTGGCTATTAGGAAGAGTACCGCTGTGAATATTCATGTACGTGTTTTTGGGTGACCATATGTTTTAAATTCTTTTAGGTATATATCTAGGAAGGGACCTTCAAGGTCATGTGGTAAATTCTTTGTTTAACTTTCAGAGGAACTTTCTGTTTTCCAAAGTATCTGCACCATTTTACTTTCTCCCAGCAGAGTGTGAGGTTTACCATTTCTGACAACTTTACCCACACTTGGCATTGTGTTTTTGATGATAGCCGTCCTGGTGGGTGTGAAGTGGTATCACATTGTGGCTTTGATTGACATTTCCCTAATGATTGATGGTGTTGAGCCTTTTTTTATGTGCTTATTGGCCATTTGTATATCTACTTTGCAGAAATGCCTTTCAAATCCATTGCCCATTTTTAAATTAGGTTGGCTTTTTATTTTTGACTTGTAAGAATTCTTTGTACATCCCAGATATAAGTTCCTTATCAGATACATGATTTGTGACTTTCTTCTCCCATTCTGTGGGTTCTCTTCACTTTCTTGATGGTGTCCTTTGACACATAATAATTTTTAATTTTGATGAAGTGCAGTTTGGCTATTTTTCCTTTGTCATTTGTGCACACGTCATTGTGTCATATTTAGGAAACCACTGCCGAGTCCCAAATCATAGAGATGAATTCATATGTCTTCTTTGAAGAGTTTTGTGGTGTGAGGTCTTACATGAAGATCTCTGATCCACTCTGACGTGTTTTTTGTGTAGGGTGTGAGGAGGAGGTCCAGCTTCATTCTTTTGCATGTGGCTGTCCAGTTTTCTGGTACCATATTTTTTTCCCCCATTGACCTGTCTTGGCACCCTCGTAGAAACAATCAATTGACCAAAAGTTGTAAGTGTTTATCTCTGGGCTCTTCAGGAAGTGGCACTTGGTTTCAGTTGCAAACTTTTCTCCATACTGAGAACCAACTGCATCGCACCTCCTCAGAGACTCTGGCACCAGCTGACTGGCACCCTCCTCAGGGGCCTGGGGCTGGCTCGGTGGGACCATCGTCCTCCAAGCCCCTGGGCGGCACCTCCAGGTAAGCTGCATCTCCTCACAGGTGAGCTTCAGTGCTGAGACTCCTCCTCCAAGCCTCTAGGTTCTCGTAATTCCCACTTTTTCCATTTGTTCTTAGCATCTCTGCTAATAGCATCTCTGCTATTAGATCATCATGATACCCACCCCACAGTGGAGTGAGGTGGTACAGTGGACACTTCTCTGGAGCTGCTTCTGGGGGGCGGCTGTGTCTGCTTAACTCAGGGTTCCTTTTATGGCTTTTTCAGTTCCTGTTTAACCAAATTCCTATATTCAGTTCTTTTGATAAAATAATTAGTTAAGTTTCTATGTTCCTGATGGACCCTAGCAGGTACATGGTCAATCATTCATTCATTCACTCACTCACTCTTTCCTTCATTTATCAAACAGTCACCTGACACCTCTGTGACAGGGCCCAGGCTGGCGATGCTTGGGGCTCACGGATGCGTCAGACGGACGCAGTTCCTATCCTGGAGGAGCTCGCGGTCTGGCGGGGTAGGCGCCTGCAGATGCCCCGCAGCCTCAGAGTGAGTAGGAAGGGCAGCTGCAAAGGAAAACCAGGGCCACACCTCGAGGGGCCACCTAAGCCCTTCAGGCTTCCATCCTCCTCCCTGCCCAGTCCCAGGGGACTGGGGGAGCTGCTGAGGGAGCAGGGACTGAGGGGGGTTGCACCGGCCCGGCTGGGGGCCCTCTGGGGGCCGTGGGCACTGTTCTGCTTGCGCCGGCCCACAGCAGGCTTATTGGATCCGGCTGCCTGGCTGCCGTGGCACCCGCAGAGTCAGGACAGAGGTGCCTCAGAGGAGCCGGGGGGCTGGGCCAGGCACTGGGACGGTTGCCAGCAGTGGCTAGGGCTCCTTCACCTGGATTCCCCCATCTGGGAGTCAGGCTCTTGGCCTGTAACATCCTGTGATGTGGTTTATTTGATGGGATGGGCCTACAGGGACTGTGCCCGAGGGCGGAAGGAGGGGTGCCTCCTTGTACCTCCCCCGCAAATGACCTGGTCCTTCTTGGGTTTACCTAAAGGACAGCAGAGCAGCACAACGCCGGGGCTCATCAGACAGATCCAGGACTGTACCCCAGCCCTGCTGCCTACTAGCTGTGGACTTTGGGCAAAGTCTTTTCACGCATCGGCGTCTCCTTGGTGAAGTGGGGATAATATCTGACTTTGTGACATGTAAAGTCCTGTGCCCGTGACTGTGGTTACTCTACAGGGGTTATTCTCATCCTTGTTCTTGAGACCCACAGCCCACAGGGGGGACAATCCTGCATTAAGGATTTTTGCACATGAAGGGCCCAGGCTGAGCAGAGAACAGAGAGGGACCACTGGGCCAGGCTGGAGGTCATGGGAGGGGGGTTTCTTGCTCAAGTTTGAGCTATTCCGTGTGGTAGGTGCTGGCTGTGGGACTGTGGTGGGAATATACTAGCCCTCTCTGGGCACCCATCTCCTCTTTGGCAAAATGATAATCATGATACCCACCCCACAGCGGAGCGAGGTGGCATAGTGGACACTTCTCTGGATCGTGCCTGCCACCTGGAGATTCACTCAGGCATCCACTGCCCCCAGACTCTGAGGCAGGTGGCCTCCCGACGGGGAAGCCCTATAATGGCTCTGCAGGCTGCATCCAGAAACTTCCTCCCAGGGACTGATACAGGAACCCCAACCTCCAGGCCCCTGGGTCAGAGCCCCCGCTACCAGGCAGGTCTCATGAAGAGCCTGTGGCCACATCCTGGCTTTAGCCTCCAGGGCCCCCCTGAAGATCCTCATCTGTTTGGGGATTTTAGGGCCAGAAACTGCTGGAGGCTCCCTGCCCCTACTTTGTAGTTGAGGAAACTCAGGCACAGAGGGATGTGACTTGCTGAAGTCTCAGATGAGGTCTGCTGGCCTGTGGAACACAGTTCTTTCCTTACACGTGAGGCAGCCTTCCTAGGGTCCCTACCGAGTGTGACTTGCACACCCCTGAGAAAGTCTTTTGAGCTCCTTAGGTGATATTTGGGGTGAGTGTTCCAAAGGCTCCAAGTCCTGTGGCCCAGCCTCGTCCTCCCCTTCTGGCTGGTCTGGAGGCCTACCCACCACGCTCGTGGGCCCGGCTTTGTCCACACCCTGCAGCCCAAGCTGCAGTGGCCCAGACGGCCTTGGCCGACTGCCTGTCCTCTGCTGAGGCTACAGGCCGCCAGACCTGCGGCGCCTCGTCTACCTGGGGTCCCTCCACGCCGGCCTGTTGCCGTCAACCTCTTCCTAACTTGCGGCCTGCTCGCTGCCTGTGCCCAAAGGGATAGTGCGTGGCACTGCTGACTGGGGGCCCCGAGGGCCTCAGCTTCTGCCTCCCCTGCCGAGGCCCGCCATCAGCCCTGCGGCCTCTGGGAGCTCCCGGATACCTGGCGTAGCATCTCTGCCTTCACACTGTATCTGACTCCTTTACTGCCTTAATCTTTGGGTCAAAAGCCTCCGCCCAGCCCTGCAGCCCTGCACGTAGGCTTGTTAATCATCAGAAGGGAATTTTCCTCAATGCTCAAGATTGATGCAACCAGCCCCATACCGGACCCTCGCCTCCCCCAAGGAGATAAAGAAGTATGCACAGGAATGGCGACTGGATTGTCAAGGACTTACAGGGACATCGTGGCCAGACCCATGTCAACACAAGGGCTGGAGTCAGCTGAGCACAGACAAGGAGTGTCACCCCCCACCAGGCCCCTGCTGACCCAGTCTGAGGTCACCTCCTGACCTCAACTCCTCCGGCTCCCCACTTCCCTAATATGAAAGACACTTGAAATCAACCCAAAGTTAAGATAGTTCTTAGGACATCAGTCACCATCTTCTTGGTCTCCTGGCTTGCCGAATGAAGTCGCTTTCCTTGCCCCGGCATCTTGTCTCCCCACTTCCTGGCCTGTTGTGTGGCACGTGGAATGAGCTTGGCCGCGGTAACCCCCATGCCCACGCAGGCTCACTTCCCAGGCACTGCTGGCTTCTGGTCCTCTCCCCAGCCCCTCCCGCTGCTTCTCCAGGACCAACCCTGTGCGGCGAGCACTGCCCTAAAATGACTCTTTGGCCTCCAGTCTTCCTATTCGGCACCCTCGCCCAGCGCCCATCCATTCTTTCTGCAGCATCGCTGGCCCCGGCCTTGGTCGGCTGCAGTCTGGGCCGTCGTGGGGCCCAGGCCACTCCAGACCCCTCCCATTCAAGGCTCAGCTGAACTACCTGTCTACTCACCCCTGTCAGAGGCCCGAAGTCAGGCTGCCCCCACTCCCTGCAGCCAGTTCTGCACGGCAGCCTGACGTCCTCTCTCACCCCACCCTGCTCACGGTCTCTGTCTTGCTGTCTCATGGAAATGTGACGGAAGCACACAAAATATACATGTAAGATGGGTGAATGTTTTGCAAAACGACACTCCTGGGTAGCCAGCACCATGTCAACAACAAGCAGAGCCTGGAAGCCCCTTCTGAGAGTGCCCACCATCCTGACTTCAACGTGGCTTATCTTGTCTGTCTTGGTACCTCATATAAATGGAATCTTACGCTATTGGGGTGGCCAGTGGTAAGCCACCCAGACTCCCCCCTGGAATGAAGACTTAACCCCCACCTGCTGGGGGAGCTGCTGGAACATGGCCCTTGGTTCTCAGCCTCCTTTGAGGTTTTCCTGGGCTGAAGACACTGCCTTACCTGGTCATGTCTTCTTCCAGGGGCAGCCTGGCATGCGGTGATGGACCAATGTGGGCTATAAAGGCCTGGTCCATTGCCCCAACTCAGGACAACTCCACAGGGCCCCCCAGCGCCTGGGGGCTGCCTAGGCTCTGTCAAGGGGCTGCGCCACACTCTGGCTCCTCTTCTGCAGCTCAGTTGTTCTGTGACTAAGTTCTTGCAAATGATAGAAAGCATAAACATCACACATGGCCTTTGGGAACTTCCCCAACAGGCAGAAGGCCCCACCTCGGTGCCTCTGCTTCCTTCTGGCTGGCATGCACACATGCTGGCGCTGGAGCAGCAATGCTGGGCCAGGAGGCGGAAGCCATGTGCTCAGGCAGTGGAGCCACAAATGAACGCCTGCCCTAGGCTCCTTCTCAAGCGAGAAAGTAGCTTCTACTTTGTTTAAGCTATTCTTATTTTGTTGTCACTGTTTATAACTGAAATAAATCTGAACAAATTCATTTCATTCATGATTAATGAATCCTCAAAGGGTCTCAACACCAACCAGTCACGGGATGACCAAGAGGCCAAAACAGTAGAACTGTGTGCACTGCATCTAAAAAAACAGAGATAAAAGGATGGTTTTGCAAAGAGCCTTAGGGTACTATAAAACGGTTAGTTTCAATGTAGAATAAAACTTGTGTGCCTCCATAAATACTCCACCATTTACACCATTATGAAATATTTGGTCTAATGTTGCTGGTCTTGGAGCTCAGAAGGGCCTGTGGTAGGACTTCTGCTGCGGCAGCCTGCAGTGGGCCTGGCTTTCAAGTAGGACACATCTGCGCTGAAACCGCAGCTCTGCTAGCCTCTGGCTGTAGGGCCTTAGGCAAGTCCCCGAACCTCACTGAGCCTCAGTGTCCTCATATGCAAAGTGAGGTGTCCTCCTCATGGGGGTGGGGTGAGTGAAATCACGTGCAGGACAGGGTATACTGCTGGGCTTGGGGCAGAGTGGGTGGCAGGAGGTGCCAGTTCCCATGGAGGCTCCTTATGCACAGCCATCCATATTGCCCTTCTTTCTTGCTAAAGGAAAGCAGATTTTGTTCAGCTCTCAGGTAGTCTTGTGTTATAATGAAGGAGGGCCTTTCCCAGCTCCTGGGGGTGAATCTCAATTGGTCTAAGCCAGTCCTGATCATTCCAATTCCTTTGCTAGTAACTGGGGTAGGAGTAGGCATGCGATGTGACTCTGGCTAATGGAGCTAGGGGAGGTCAGCCGGAGAAGGGGTCCGCTGAGAATTTGCATAGACAGGAGGGAGGAATGTTCTCTTTTCTGCCTGTTTTGCATTAGTGCATAAGGGTGTGATGTTTGGAGCAGAGGCAACCATCTTGAGGCCATGAGGGGACAGGCCTGAGCCCAAATGTCAACACACTGGATCCTTGAAGATATGAAGAAATTGTTGATGAACTGCTGAATGAACCAGTTCTGGAGACACCCCACACCAGACTCCTTGTTACATGGACAGACACTATTAACTGTCCTCTAGTGTCCATTCTTCCTGTCATGAATTTAGTAACAGGACATACTGAGCTTCAGCTGGACATTTGGCCCCTCCAGCTGCAGACAACACTCCCCAACATCCTTGGCGGCTGGGTGTGGCCACACGACTGAGTCCAGGCCAATGGGACATAAACAGAAGTGATGTGTGCAACTTCCAGATTACATCCTTAAAGATCCTTAAAGATCCTTCCCACTAGTTGGAAAAAAGCATCATTGGACCCCTTTGGATGCCCCACCTTAGGGACGGCAGAGGAGCCCCCTGGCCTTGGAGCGACCACCTTGGGGCTGACATGAGAGGAACAGTCTTCCTTATTTAAGCAACTGTTGTGGAGTCTTTTCGTTACAGCAGTTTCCTGAGTACGTCACCCGATACATCACATGGAGAATCAGTGCCCTCCTGATTTCAGGTGCTCTTGTTTCTAGCAGCCTAGAGGCCTCTCCTCTGAACTTGTCTCTTTCCTTGCAGGTTGGTGGGAACTGGGGCTGGGTTCTGACTTTTGTTGTTGTCAGGCTATGGCTGTGAGGAATGTCTTCCTGTTTGGAGATCCCCTCCCACCCGCTCCTAGTTCAATGTCAACACCACCTTGGTTCCCACCTGCTGCTGCGGAAGTCCACAGCCATTGTCAGGTCCTGAAGCCGTGTCCACTTCAGACCCCCAGCCTCACAGAGGAATTCCCAGCATGCCTCGCAGGGGGCTGGCCCACATGAGGACAGAGATGGAGGAACAAGTGAACCGTGAAACCAGACTTACAGGAACGCAGTCCTGAGTTACTCACCCATCTTCCGTCTCTGTTAGGCACTCGGACGGAGGACATTCCAATTTAATATTTAAACAAGAAGTTGAATATTGATACAGTAACAAGGGGGAGTTATTCCTCTAGCCCAGATAGCTATTCTCCCCGCTGACGGTGCTACGCCAGCCAGGAGCAGTCATTAAATAATTGACAGCATGCCTGCCTGCGGCCCCTGCTGAGCCACTCTGTGACCCCTACTAAAGGGGTGTGTCCTCAGCTTCCCCAATCCTCAGACAAAACTGCAACACGCCCACCATGACAAACTGCAGGCTTCCTGGGATCTGATTACTACCGTCCCCAGGGCAGACCTCCACCCCAGCCCGGCCCTCCCTTCTCCTTTCCGAGAACTGAAGAATGAAGTTGCCCAGCAATTGTTCTGGACCCAGCAATGAAGGGGGGCCGGCCTGAAGCTACCAGGCAGTAGGCGATTGTGAGCGCGGGGCGGGGCGGAACAGAAACTCTCTAGAGTCAGGTTCAGGCAGAAGGGGTGGGGGGCTCTGGGCTCTGGCCGGTGGGTGTTGCACTGGGAGGTGAGGACAAGCCTCTCCAGCTCCCCCTGCCAGCCTCCTTGTCCTGAGCTCAGTCCTCAGGACAGCCAAGGCTTGGGTTCAAATCCCAGTACTGCTGCTACTTGCTGAGCTTTCCTCTCTGCAGCAAGTGGGGTGTGCTGTATATACCGTGTTCTGGACCAGGTACCCTTAGATCATCACAACCATGCCAGGATGCTAGGAAGTCAGTACTGTCCATCTCCTCTTTGCCAAAGAGGTAATGGGCACGGCTCTGACCCAGGGTGTGGGGGGCCAGGAGATAGGGAGGGGGGCCTTTCGGCTCCTGTGCCCTACCTACTCTGGGCATTAGGACAGCTCCTCCCAGCCCAGAGGCAGTGCAAGAACACAGCACCAGGGTGGGGGGCTGGGTGGTAAGGGTGGCACCTTCTGGTCTCACCCCCTGGAGATGAATCAGCCTGTCTCCCCCACCTTGGCCCACCTGTCCCCAACCCCTCTTTTCTCCAGGGCCAGCTGGACCTTGACTGGTTTATAGCTGTTGCATTAAGAGGCTGGGCATGGGGCTGGCTCAGCGGCATACAGCACCCCAGACCTTCCAGGCCAATGAGCCTGGAGGGCCAAATGAGGGAGAGGGGGAATTCAACCCCAAACTTCTGATCCCCCTGCCTTCCCCTGCCCACCTTCTCAGAGAAGGGATGCCAGGCGCATCTGAGAGTCCGCCCGTCCTGGGTCCTGCCTGGCCTCATGTGAGGAGTCTGGGGCTGAGGCTGCTATCTTCCCGTATTTCCAGCATGGGGGCCTCTGAGGAGGACTGTACACACGAGACCAGGCTGGCTGCAGCTGCTCTGGCCCGGCCTGACCCTCTTACTGATGCTCCCTGGGAAGAGGGGTCTGGAGGTGGTCCCTCTGGGCCCTCAGCTCTGCACGGACTGCTGGGAACTCCTTGCAAAGTCACAAGGACGTCCCCCTCCAGGAGCCTGAGCCCAAACCTAGGAATGATCCTGAGAGGGATCTGACATGGCTCTGCCCTTCAAGGTCTTCGAGGGGACAGGCCAAGAATCCAACAGTCACAGCGGATGCCTGGGAGCTGCGTGACCGGAGGAGGGGCAGTCAGGGAAGGCTTCCTGGAGGGGACATCAGCCTTAGGGAAGGAACAGAGTTTGTTGACTGGGAAGGGAATTGCCAGCAACAGCAAAGGCATGAATATCAACATGTGGCCATTAGTGGGGAAGGGGGTCAAGAACAACATGCAGGTTAGTGTGGCTAGAGGGCAGTGCTCATGGCTGAGAGGGCAGTGGCGCTTGACTGAGGAGGGCCTTGAATGCTGGGCCTGGGAGTAAGGCTTTGTTCCATAGGCAACAGGGAGCCATAGAAGAACTTAGGGTGAGGGAGGGTCACGTGTCTCACCTGTGTGCTGGCACACAGTAGGCACTCACTACATGCTGGCCAAATGACTAATGAAACAATGACCACAGGAGGTCATCTCACTTGCTTTAGTATATAGAGTTATGTATATTATTTATATTATTAAGATAAAACCTGCTCATTCTAAACAAATTTTAAGATAGGTGAAATGATGCTGTCATTGGAGAAACAACTGACATAATTGACAATGACCCGTTGTTCTCATCAAACACATCACCTGCTTTTGAATGCCCCTAGAGCCAGGGAGCTCACCCCTCACTGGGCTTCCCAGCACCATCCACAGGCAGAATCACAGGTCTCTAAACATCTCTCCCCTCATCTGCCAAAGAGCAGCCTGGCAGAACCCCCACTCTAGGGGGAGGGCTTCTCCAGCCTGGCCAGAGCTTCCCGGAGGGACTTTCTCTGCACACCTGGCTGGGGTCTCACCCTGCAGAGCGCAGACCTGCCTCTGGCCCAGCCCTGGGGCCACCAGCTGGGTAGCTGGGGCCTCTCCCGGATGCTGGCCAGTCATGCAGGGTGGGGCAGGAGAGGCCGGCTGGCAGGGTGCCTCTGCTCTGCTGAGGAGCTCCTCAGGGGTCTCATTTGGCCCCGTTAAAACAGATTCGGGCTCATTATGGGTGGGATGCGGCCCCCACCGCTGCCTGCCAGGTCCCTGGGCGCTTCGGATCTAGGCAGGTTGGGAGACCTCGGGCAAGTCGCCACCGCCCCCTGCCTGAGCTGCTCCAGCTGCAGAAAGGGGATATTTAGGGCTGTGCAAGTGATGAGTTTTATCAACCATCAAGCAGTAAGTGTCAGGGAGGCACTTTGACTGCATTTATTCTCCTGTGTTTATCAGGGGCAGGGTGTTTTCTTTCAAATGCTTTGCCTGAACCAAAAAACCACCACGCCCCCATGTCCATGGAGTGGGCAACATCTCTGGAAAGAAGGGGTGGGTGGGCAGGCTGGGCCTCTCCCGAAGAGATCCCAGGGCAGCCCCGCAGGCCTCAAGCCCTCTGAAAAAGAACCCCAAGCCAGAAAGGAGCCACGTGCCCCTCCCTGGGCTCCCCCACCGCCCCCTGCCCTGGCCCAGCTCCTCCCTCCTTCCTCTGCTGCCCTCAAGCTTCTGCACGTTCCCCTCGGGTGCACCTCGGCCCCAACCAGCCTGGCTTCCCCGAGATGCCCTGGGAGATGCCTTGATGTTCCCTGCTCTGGAGTGTGTCTAGGAGACCCAGCGTGCCCACCCAGCTCACTCCCGCTGATTCTTGCTGGGGGCCCTTCCCCTGCACTTGTCACCTCTGTCCTAGACAGCGCGCTGGCCCAGAGCGAGAGCCACTGGCCTCCTACCCGGCTGGGGTCTCACCCTGCAGAGCGCAGACCCGCCTCTGGCCCTCAAAGGGAGCAGATCTCAGAGCCTGCAGCGCGTCCTCCAAAAACACCTCTGTGGCCAACAGTCCCTCCATCCTGCCCCAAATCCCCAGCTGCGGCAACTCAGGCCTTGCAGCTTGCCTCCCCGGCAGGGTGGCCAAGAGCCCTTCTCCAGTTAGGGTGCTGGGTAGGTGGAGGTGCCCCAGCAGGCCCCTCACAAGTACATTTTTATGGCCTCGTGCGTTGTGGGGCAGTAGCGGGCATGGAGCTGGGCCAGCAGCACCCTGGACGTGGCCTCAAAGTGTGTGCCCTGGCTCTTCTTGTTCCACACGTGGACGGCGTAGGTAGCATTGAGCAGCCGGGGCAGCTCCTCGGGGCTGACGTCCTCAAAGTACCTCTTCCAGTTCTGCCAGGGGATGGGGTAGAAGGCCTCACAGGGCAGGGTGGTGACGCCGCGGCAGGAGTGGCTCTCATCCAGGCTGCGGATAGAGCACCACTTCTTGAAGACCCGCGTGAGCAGCTGTGGGCCCTGGTGGCCCCAGATCCAGCCGTTGTAGTGCGCCACGAAGTCACGCATGCACAGTGCCATGAACTCGTGGTGGCGCTCGAAGGCCAGGAAGGCACCATTGAGGACGTAGCGAGACTGGGTGCCCAGCACATTGGTGAGGTTCCTCAGGTTCTTGAGGACAATGAAGTCTGTGTCCAGGTAGATGCCGCCGAACTTCCACATGAGCGCGATCCTGGAGGCGTCGGAGAGCACGGGCAGCAGGTAGGGCTCCCACCGCCGCTGCACAGCCACGTACCAGGTTGCCAGGGGCGTGTCCCGGAACAGTCCCTCCAGGTCCAGCGGGAGGATCTGCACATTGGGGAAGCAGCCCAGAAGCGAGAGGCCCAGGTGCCGGGGCAGGGAGGGGCTGCCACCATGCAGCCCCTTCATCAGGACCACCACCTGGGACCCGGGGTGGGCCCTGGCTGCCGACTCCACCGAGCACATGAACAGGAAGTTGGGGTTGGTCCGGTCTGAAGTCTCCAGGAAGAAGATGTTGCCTGGAAGAGGGGTGGAGGGAGGTGTGGGGGGCACCAAGTGGGGGCAGGAGATGTCAACAGGCAGGTTGGAGAATTGTCCTTGGCCTCTGGGCTCCCCCACAATGTGCCAGTAGATCATGACAGAGACAAAAAATGTGAACTTGAAGCTGATGATGAACAGGGTGCAGATCCGCTGCCTTGGGGTGCCCCAGAGCAGCCGCAGCAGCCAGTCGGGGGGCCTGGACATGGTCTCCCAGATGACACCAGGTGCCTCCAGCAGGAACCAGCTGGTCTGCAAGAGATGAGCACCACACTTGGGCAGGCTGCTGGCATCTCTGGTCCCCAAAAAAGCCTCCCACAAATACCAGCCACAGCCAGTGCCAGCTTCCAAAGCCCAGGGGTCGGCTGACTCTGAGTCCCACCTCCTTCCTCATCTGCAAAATGGGAACTGTGGGCCATGGGCCAAGGTCCGGGCACTGCTGCTCTTTGCTGTGACACATCTGTGAGCTCCCTAAGAACTGAGCCAAGGCCACCTACAGCATCACAGGCCCTGGCCAAGGTCTGGCACATGCAAGGGTTGTCAAAAACTATGACGGCCATGTGGCCCAGTACATGGGCCGTCAGCTCTATTTGGCTCCATAAACCAGGCCTGGAGCTGGCCCAGGAAGGCAGAGTGCCACCAGCCTCAGGGTCATGTGGGGCCTGGGGCCTGGGAGGCCTTGGGTGCTGGCTCGCTAAGAGGCTAGCACGCAAACTTGCTCACAGGACAGGTGCTGAAGGCATATGGGAATGCGTGCCGGGTCTGAAGCCCTTGGCTTGGACATGATGGGGTCTCCTGAGCCCCGGGGTCCCTAGCCCCCATCCTGGGCTGTGCTTCTCATAGACACAGGTCTGGAGGGAAAGGACAGGGAGGCTGTGCTGTATCCATGACCTTAACCAGTACTGCTGCCCTTGGACCCTCACTCTTTCCTGGTGATGCCCGCTTGGCGAGCAGCCAGGAGCAGCCTGGGTTCTCTGCAGGTGGCTGGGGTGTCTGTGATAAGATGAGCCTGGGCTCTGTCCCCAAGGGTAGACAAAACACCTGGGGGGCACTGGACCCCAGTCTGCCAAATGAGCTGTGAGGCCCGGGCAAAGCAGGTCAGCACACAGGGGCCCACTGCAGGCTGAGTGCATCGACTCAGTAAATATGAACTGCCTGCCACGCATGTGCCAGGTGCCAACTCAGTAAACCCTTAGAGCCACTCTTTGGGGTGGCAATCATCATGCCCATCTTACAAGTGAGGGAACAGGCACAGAGGTCTGCCAACTCATGCAGCCTCACCGCCAGCAAGCGGCAGGGCAGGGACTTGAACCCAGACCACCTGGCCCCAGAGTCTGCGCCCTCACTGCCGCACCATCCCACCTGGACAGAGACGGCGTGCAGATGGCACACTGGGACTCGGTGCACGTGACTGAGTCTAGACTGTCCTCACTGAACACAGTCCCAGCTACTATCACTTGGTGCCTTCTAAGGGCTTGGTACCAAGGTCACCCCCTCCTGGCCTGCTGGAGCCCCGGGGGCAGCTGCGTCACTTCTCCTTTACAGGCCAGGAAACGTGGACTCAGGACAGACTGGGCACTGCCAGGATGCTAGGAGGAGCCAGAGCCAACCCCTCCCCAGGACAGGCGGGGCCTCTGGCCTGGGGATGGTGCCAGGGCCTGGGCCTCAAGCAGCTGGCGGACCCTCCCCGAGGTGGAGGACAGGGAACAGCAATGATGTCACGGGCTAGTAACTGACCAGCCTGGACGGCCCATGGTGGTGAGGGGTGGATGCAGGCAACCTGGCAGGCCTCCGAGACACACCCTGGCTCAGCAGCCAACCTTCTCTGCCAACACAAACACGGCCCTTCCAAAAGCTCTCCATGCCCACCAATCCATCTGCAAAAGACGGAGAGAGACAGAGTGAGGTGGGTCGTGGGCTCAGAGGCCTGGTCCCCTGGCCAGCCTGGCTCATGTGCTCACTGCCCCTGTACCCTCTCAGCCCCCCAGGGAACACACCTCGGAGAAGGGACGGGTGGAGGGGGGAGCAATCAGGCTGTGGGGAGGTTGTCTGGAAACCAACAAGGACATTAAACCAGCTGGGGGCCAGTGGAGCCAGGAGAGGCTTCCTGGGGAGGTGACACTTGATGAGAAGGGAGTTAGGCAGGTGGACCTCCGGAAGTGCCACACCTTCTCTCCCTGGTGCCCGACTCAGTGCCCAGAGCAGAGCAGGCCCACAGGCAACGAACGCACTCACTCACTCACTGACTCACCCCGTTGCCGGCTAGGGGGACACTAAAAATACAAGTTCAGGCCACCTTGCTCCTCTGCTGAGATCCTCAGTGACGTGGGAAGCCCACATCCACCGGGTCCTGGGTGTCTCCTGACCCCTGACCTCATGCCCCACTTCTCTCCCCATGGTCGCTCTGTTCCAGCCATACCTGGAACTTTCTCCTGCTCTTTCTCAAACCCATCCCCCCACGCTGCTGTCTCTGGGCCTTCACACCTGCTGTTCCCCCTGCTCAGCATGCTTTTCCCACAAACCTTCACTCAAAATTCACCTCCCCCAGGGGCCTCCCTGCCACTCACCCTCCAGCTCCCCCACCACTTCCCAGCCTCTGACTTAATCCTCCCTAGTCCTGGTTCTAACATGTATGCTGTATATTTTTGTTTTGTGTTTTGTTCAGCATCTAGAATAGTGGCTCCTGGCAGGCAGTCGGTGAGTATTGAGTGAGTGGCTGGGCATGTGGGTAAGTGAAGGGGCAAATGATTGAGTGAACCAATGAATGTTCAGTGAGTGAATTAAAGAGTGAACAAATGCGTGCATGAGTGAATTAATGAGTCAGTGAGCATGTAAGTGAGGAAACTGGGGTCAGGAGTTGCATGGGCTGCCTGGGATGGTGAGCGGCAGAGCTGTGATAAACCAAGAAGCTGTGTTTCCTCAGCCCTGGTTTTCCCCTACAGGGAGAGGCTATTTTGGTCCTGAGTATTTTTAACCCAATGCGAACACTGAGGAGCAGACCTATAGTTGGACCATGCAAGGCCCTGAATGCTGGGCCCTGAAGCATTGGGGTGATCTGGCTCTGCTGTGGGGCGGGGTGGGGGCTGGGCCCACTGGGGAGGCAGGACGTGCCACCTGAGCCCCTCACGTCGAGGGTGCCAGGCGCAAGCAGTGCCGTATTTGGTGCTGAAGCCTGGGACCCAGGAACAGATACTGTGTATGTGGCCAAGTTGGCCACAGCCCAATGCCCGTGTGACCTCAGGCCCAAAGCATGCTCCTGGCCCCGGGAATGGGCCTTGCAGCCTTGTCAACTGAACCTGGCATGTGGCTGCCCCCTCCTCCTGGCTCCCTGCCCACCACGTCCAGTCCTGCACTGGGGAGATGTGTCCAGTTAGGTCAGCTGTGGTCGCATCCCTGCTCCAAGCCTTTCTTCAGCTCCCCATCATCAGGATCCCCTGATCCATCCCAGGCAGGAAGCGAGGTGTGCAGCTGCTGGACACAAAGGGCCGAAGGCCTGACCAGACCCCTGCCGGCCTGGCTTCCAGCACCGGCTCTGCAGAGGCCCCACCTTGGGAGCATCGGTATCAGGGCACCAGGCCCACGTCCCTCGAAAAGGCCCCCCTACCTGGTGACTGTCACCAGGGTGTTTCGATGGGGACACAGAACCCTAAAGTGAAAGGGGCTCGGCAGCAGAGGGCACGGCGTGTACAGGGAGCTGGCCTCCAGCTGGGCAGTGGAGCCCCTGTGGTCCCTGTGCAGGAAATGCCCAGCACCCGAGGCTGTCCTGGAGGCGTGGGGGGAGGCAGACATCTCAGCAGGAGTCGCAGCCACAAAACCAGCAGACAGAGGAAGGGACGGCCTCTCGTCAGCCCTGAGCTGCCAAAACTAACAACCACAAACTGTGGGGCTTAAAATGAACACCTGACACTTGTCACTGGGCTTCCAGCCCATGTAATCCATGATCATTTCCTCATCTCAAGATCCTTAATAACATCGGCAAGGACACTTCTTCCAAATGAGGTCAGATTCACAGGTCCTGGGGTTAGGATGTACCATATTGTCCCCCTGCACCCCCCTTCTTTGCTTCTCTGTCCGGAGCCTCAGAATCCCTGTGTGTAGAAGGAAGCTGTTCTGAAGTCACAGAAGCCACTGGAGCTCAGGAGAGTAGTGAGGGGCCGGGTCACATGCTACCCCAAACGGAGTCTTTGGAGCCTGGGGTCCACCCCAGGCCCCTGAGGTTCGCTGCCTCAGCCTCTGTGCATGGCGTTTAGGGGTCCCAGCCGCAAGGGCTCTCCTGCAGAGAGGCTGCCCTCCACCCCCACCACGGTCACTGCGCCTGGAGCACCTTCAGGACGCCAGGCTCGGGACGTGGGCTCAGGCCTCGAGAGCATGTGCAAGGCTGAGATGCACCTGGGCCCTGTGAGGGCAACGGGGACAGGACCAGACAGGGGCCAGTGGGGCCAGGAGGGGAGACCATGGAGGCCTCAGCAGGTCCCACGGGAGCCCTGGGGCTCGGCACCCTTCAGAGGTTCCAAACCAGGGTGGAGGCCTATGACCACACTGAGCCACGTGGTGACACAGGCTGCTCCCAGGGAGGGCGCACCACCGTGGGGGGTGTTCCCTCTCACAGAGGACACCCCCTGGGAAGCGGGTGCTCCAGGGCCCAGTGAGAGGCCTGATGGCACCTGTGTCCCCGCTTCCCTCCAGAAATGGTCTTGTTCACTTTCTATCATCCGAGTTCTCGGGGGGCAGGGCTCACTTGTCCTGCTCAGGTCCTTCCCGGGGCTCACACAGGGCCTGGCAGACAGTAGGTGCTCAACAAACCCTGGTGGATGAAGGGATGGCTCTCAGGAGGGAGCCAGATGCCCCTTCGGTTCTTCTCAAGGCCTCAGGAGCAAACCAGGTCAGGGAGCAGGGCCATGAGGGGCAAAGCCAGGGTCAGACTGGGACTCCAACTGCAGCTGTAACCCGACCAGCAGTGTGGCCTCAGGCAAGCCCCGTTCCTCCTCTGAGCCTTGACCTCCTCACCTGTAAAATGGATCCACCCCACCTTGGAGGGGCCAAGCGAGGCGATGCGTGTCTGGGCCCCAGTCCGCTGAGCAGGCCCTCAACAGACGGTGACAGTGGCCATTAGTCAGAGGCCTTCTCTCCGGCAGGGCGACCGGCGTGGTCCTCGCATGGAGGCCTACGAGGGTGCTGGGGAGGGGGATGCTCATGCTCAGGGCAGTCTTTAAGGTCAGGAGGCATGCCTGTGTGGCCCTGTGAGCCACTGACCACTGCCTACCCCTGAGGCCAACAGCGTAGCTGTGTGTGGCCAGGATGTGGCATGTGACCTGCCTAATCCCTTGTCGCGCTCTCATTCCCCCAGGGCCCACCTAGATGTCAGAGAACTTCATCCTCACCTCATGTCACACTTGCTCCCAGTGAAGCTAAATCAGGTCCCCTCCCTGCCCCGCTCCACTGCAGCCTGGACAGACAGGGACTTCAAGGTGGACTTTAGAGTTCCCTAATTTTCCTTTCTGAGCAGGACTTTATATGGGGTGGGCCTGGAGGCAGAGAGGACTGAGATCTCCCAGGCCACCTGAGCCTCCCTCCTGGGCCTGCACCTGCCAGTGTGACCTCAGGCAAGACAGGAGACCTCTCTGACCTTGGGCTCCTGGTCTGTCATGCAGGGGCAACACCAGAGCCCAGATCATAGGGTGCTGTGTGGACTAAGGCAGTGCGGACGTCTCACAGTGGCCAGTACAGAGCCTGGAGCAGAGGCTGAGCCGAGCTGGACCCAGAGGCAGGAGCCTGAACCCAGGCCAGGGCAAGGCGGGCAAGGGGAGCCCCTCACACCACCTTCTCCGGGGGCCTTTCATCCCAGGCCCCATGACCCCTGGGCCACATATGGTCTTGAACATCACTGAAATGGCAGCTCCATGGACTGTGGGCCTGGGCAGGCCATTCTGCACGGCGGGAGAAGAGGGTCGACGTCACATGCACTGGGGACCCCCAGTGCAACTGGGGTGGTTCTCTGCTGGGTTTGCGGGCCCAGCACACACTCGCTCTTCTGAGAGCAACACCTGATCTCCACTGGGGAACTGCCTCTGCCCCCCACAGCCCACTCCCCAGCTCTCGGGATGGCCACGTGATTCAGGTCTGACTAATGACTGGACCGCATGCTCTTGGCCTCAGTGGTTGGCTCGGGGAGGGCACATAACAACCCCAGCTGAGCAGAGATACACGACTGCTAGTGGGTCACTAAGACATGGACCAGAAGCGGGGAGGATAGCGCCTGCCTGGGGAGGAAGCTGGCCGGAGGCGAGCAGAGCCGAGAGATGGCAAGACAGAGACACATGGGACGTCATCATTACGCCTGGATCCTGCTGTGCCTGAAGCTGGAGTACTCCTGGCCTTCTCAGTCACGGCAATCAGTATGTACACAGACACACACACACACACACACACACACACACACACACATACACACAAGGAGGCATCTGTGCTAAATAATCAAGGGGCACTGTAGTTTGATCCATAAAATCTGACTGGCTTTTATGAAGAAAATATTTTCAGTTATTCTTTGTGTCACAGAAAACAACAACATTTTCAGATGTTATTTGGACTCAGCCTGGGGTTTGAGTTCTGGCTCTAGCAGTGCTGTTGGTCACCTGATCTGACACTCAGCCCTTCTGTTTCCCCATCTTTAAAATGGGGATAATCGTGTTCTTGCAGAGCCACAAGGGGATTTTCATGATACACCCGATGAACTGCAGATACTCAAGAGGCATCAGTCCAAATAGGAAGTCACACAGGAAAGAGCCCCATGCCTACCTGCACGGAGCGCAGACGGTGCCTCCCACACTGGCGACTTGCTCGCCGGGAGAGGGTACAACCTGGGGCCGAACCTGTCTGGCACTTACTGGGTTGAGGAGCCACAGAGCACCCCAAGGCAGAGACCACCTGGCCCAACCTCTCACTCTAGGTGGGGGAGGGAGCGGAGAGATGCCCAAGTCCACAGAGAATCAGCAGGGGCGGACGGGAACTCAGGCCACACGGCAGCACATGTGGGACTCGATACGGGGGTCACTTAAGCTGGGGTCCTCAAGTCTCCTTACCTGGGAAAGGGGAGCACAGCGCCCACCCTGAGTCCACATCCACCTTCGCCTGTACTTGGCCCTTGCTGTTTCTGCTGTTGGCTGAGGGGAATAGGGGGGTGCTTGGAAACCAAAGTCTGTGGGTGGATGTGCTGCAGACGGCGAGGGGTCCCGTCAGGGTGGATGGGACACTGCTGGAGGGCCCTCCTCCTTCCTGGCTGACAGAGACAGCAGCTGACAGGGCCTTGCTCCCCGAATCAGGGACACATCCCAACCTGAGAGGAAAGGAGAGCCTCAGCGCAAACGACCGCACCTCCTGATGCCTCTCCAACTGATCACCAGCGAGCCGTTGCTCAGCCAGTGTCCCCCCTAACTCTCTGTCCCCAGGCCTCCGCTGTCCCTCCCCCAGGTCTCTCCCTGCTGCCACTCTGGGTTGGTCTGTCTGTCTCTCCCTCTCAGCAGCACTGAGAGAGCTCTCTTGGTCCCTGGTCCCATGACACCACGCGGGGGGCAGGGCTGCAGTGGGACGTGACGGAAGGAGACCAGGCTGCTGAGACTGGACGGGTCCGGATGGGAAGCTCTCCCCCAGCCCCTAACTGGCACCAGCGCCCCGTGCCAGGAGAGGAAAACTAGGTTCACTTTGCACAGGGAGGTTTGGGGCTGAGGACGCAGTGGGAGACAGAAGAGGCCGAGGAGCCTGCTGCGTTCCTCCACTTGGTGAGAAGTGCCTGACGGAGCCAGGAGGCCCTGGCCCAGCTGCCCCCAACGCAGGGTCACGGTGCCGTCTCAGTTCAGCCTGATCACCAGGACAGGCATTACTCCAGCCAACGCCAGCCCCTGCTCCCTGTGTAACCTTCAGAGAAGTAAGGGACTTGTCCACACGGCCACAGCTAGTGGCACTGGGCTGGTGTGTGCTTCCAGGTCCGCCCAGTCCTGTTCCCAGCTTGCTGTGTGATCTTGTGAGTCATTTTCCTATTTTCTGGGCCTCAGATTCCTTCTGCACAAGGGGAGGAGAGCAGGGCTAGCCAAGGGCTCTAACTGTGGTGACATGGGGCATGTGTCGGTCACCTTCCCTGATAGGCTAACATCCGAGCAGATCCCGGAGGCCTGAAGAAGCTTGAGGTATCTGGGGGAGGCCATGGGGCCAGGAGACGGCATGGAGGACAGGGATTTCTAAGCAGCCACTCATCGGCTCTGTGACCTGCGGTCCATCGTTGCACCTCAGCTTCTTTGTCCATGAAAGAGGGTGGGCTGGGCTCTTTGGTCTTGGAACTCAGGTCTCCCTGGGTGTGAAAAATACCCACAGCTTCCAAACCCTGCTCGAACGGTCTGCTGCCCTGTCCTCCACACCCCCCAGCAATCTTTCAGGGCATAAATTAATACATTATTTCTACTCAAGAAGCAAGAGTGACAGTTATTAGAAGGTGACGATCCTTGTAAAAATGGCTGTTTTCAAAACATAGGTCATAAAATTTTCCCCCTCCAAAGCCTGTAAGATGTTCCAGAGCCAGAAGTCAAGCAAGGGGTGGCTTGCTGTTTGGGGGACATTACAAAGAGAAAAATTAGGGACACAGGGACTTCTTTTTCCAAGAGGAATAAGGCAGCCACAAGGACTAAAGCAGATTTTTGGTTCCTAATCTTCCCTCTTTTCTAATGTTATACAGAGCAACAGGGAAAAGAAAAAACAAACCATAAGCTTTAGGGAAACTACAGGTATGAAAAAAGCACATAAACTCCAAATCATGTGTAAGTGTGGCCCAAAGCACCGGAGGCCAGCAGGCACGGCAGCAAGGTGGGGAAGAACGGGGGGGCAGGGGGGCCCGGTTGTGGAAGATCACAGAAATCACCACTTCAAAAAGATGAGTAAATTAGGTGGCAGCTGTGGCCTGAACGAACCAGGGAAGGTCACAGTTGGAGGCGGGCAGCTTCTTGAAAAGGGTTGAGTTCTGAGAGGCAACAGAGAAGTAGATCCAGAGAAGGGCCACGTTTTAAAGGCACAATCCATTCCCCTAAGAGCACAGGGAGGAGCCTTTCAGCAGAGAAACTTAGGGAACTAGCCTGGTCTCTCTCCCCATTTCCACCAGAACCTCCTATTAACTGCTAGTCCAGGAAAAATGAATTTAAATATAGAAAAGAAAATCTGTTAAAGGAATAAACATAGCATTCATTCAAAGATGTTACCAGAACGATAAAGGAAAGGACAGTAATATTCCCTTGTATAAAAAGAATATTCACTCTAAAAATACTGCCACCAGACAAATAAAAATTCGAATCTAAAATTGCATCATGGATTAAAAAAGAAAAAAAAAATCTTGAAAAAGTAATCCCAGCTCTGAAGGAAGATCAGAAGGCAGAAATATAAAGTCTGGAGAAGAAATGGGTAGATGAATTGATGGACGGACATACAGACCAAGTGTGAGAACTGGTAGGTCTTGGGAAAGAACTAGAAGAAAAAGACAAATCATTTCAGAAATAAAGACGAAACTGCAAGAAATGCAAGGGAGAATGGACTTTATATGAAGAACAGTGAGAGACATAGAGATCAAAATGAGAAAAGTAAAGAAAATTAAACAGAAATAATCAGAGATCAAAGATTAAAGAAGAAAAGATAGAGAAGACATATAAGGGAGATCTTATATGTATAACTGGAGTCCCTAAACAACTAAATTAAAACTAAAACAATGGAATAAATATTACAAATTATGATCCAGGAAAACTTTCCTGAAATAGGGAAGACTTGATTTCATGAGCTGAAAAGTTACACCATGTACAGAGAACAGTGAATCAGAATGGTAAATTTCAAGGCATATTCTAGCAAAATTACTGGACTTGAAAGATACAAAAATAAATCTTTAGGCAGCAACACAAAGATCAAGCTGTCAACGAATGGAGAGAATGAGGCCGGCGTCAGATTTCTCAGCAGCAACGTCCAATGACAGAAGACAGTGGAGTGATACCTACAGGATCTGAGGGAAAACAATCTGAGCTGAAGATTTTAAAAAGCCATGCTGTCCTTTATTTCTTTTCTTAATATTATATTTTAATTTGACAACCTACTTGGTTCTATTAAGCAATTCATGAATCAGGCATCATTTCATCTAGCAGCACAGAAATGCTCCAAGGAAGGAGTCATGCTGTTCTTTAAATATAAAGATTCTCCACCAACAGTTTTAAAATATAAGGACTTAGGCAATAATGTTCCTATAAGGAAAACTGAAGAATAAGCATCAGCCAACCAAATGGTGGTTGGAGTCACCTCTGTAAAATGACAGAATATATTTAACAGCAGATCAAAAAAAAAAAGTAGGAATAAGGATAAAGGAATGGAATGAAAATGTTTTCTTGTTAAACACTGTAGAAATGATACAACTAACAAATAACTGGTAGGCAAGGGGGAAAGGAGGTGAAACATGGAAAAAACAAGCTCACTAGTTGCCTCATCTTTAATTATTAGGGGTAAGAGCTAAAAACCAAGTAGTAAAAGTTTAAGTATCTTTCAAGTAGGAGATAAGAGGAAGGATAATACTACCTTGTTTTACCACATCCAAGTAGATGCATCCTTATGGTACGTACCACTAACAATGAAAATGCTGCCAGTTCAACGATGTCTCTTTGTTTTCTTATTATGTACAATTGTTTAGTCAGACTTTAAAATCAGCCATCATGCCTGTGCCTACATAAGCAATGAAAATAAGTGAAACAAATCAGGTTAGGTGTCCCGGAAACTTTTAAAGTTAAAACCTGATCCTTCTGAATGACTTCAACTCAGTGCCACTGATGCCTTCATCTCCCACATGGTATCACCTACTGTACCCACAGGTGTGGGTGATGCAACATTTCTTAAGAGTGCTTCCCTACTGTTTCCAGAATTTTCTTCCAAGCTGCTAACACCTCTTTGTCAGCTTTTCATGCCTTTGCATGAGCAGGCAACTGTCATGAACACCATCTGGCTGAGAACTTCCAGAGACATTAGAATGGAGAGAACATACACCTTAATCATTCAGGAGAGGATCAGCTGAAATGGGGCAGTGACAGGAGAGAAGGAAACAAAGTTATTGTTGTTCATAGAAGAGAAAGCATAGATACTGTCTAAAGAGAAGGAACGAAGAGAATTTTAAAGGTATAAACATAAACATAGCCACTAGAACATAAATACAAGCTTTCCTAAATATCAGGACTACAGGTTTTTTAAAAAGCAAACACAAGTGAAAGAATAAATATAGCTCCCCACCTGTACAGACATATATACAAATATGCACATACAATATGACAGAAAGACGAAAGACATCTGTCAAACCAATAAATAGGTTTACTCACTTAACTTTACAAAGAAAAGATTTTTAGTTTTGATTCTAAGCGAAACCCATCTCTATCCTGTATTTAAGAAATATACATTAAACATAGTGATTTAGAATGCTTAAAAGTAAAAGAATGAAACCTGAGCATAAGATTGTATATCAACAATACCTTAAAAAAATAGTAAAAGAATGAGCAGAGGCATAAAGACAGATACAAACAAAAACAAAGCAGGGGCCATAATCTTAATATCAGACAATGAGGATTCAAGCCAAACATCACTATAATGATAAATGGTATAATCCACAAAGCAAGCACCAAGTAACACTGCAGCAATTTTCAGGAAGAAGAAATTACAGGAATACTAGGACATATAGGTTAAAAGACACTGACCAGAGATTTAAATTTACCTCTTTCAGCCTAAGTGACAAGTAGATCACACAGAAATAGGAATTCAGAAGACCTAAATAAAATAAACAGTAAGGTACTACACTATACCAAACTCTCTAGCCCAAATAATAACAACCCACTTTCTTTTCAAGAGCTGATGGAACATTCATGAAAACTGAAAACCTCAACAACATCCAGAAATATAAAAAATACAGATACTTTATAATTCCAAGGCAGTATGACTAGATATTAAATTAAAAGTCTGGAAATAAAAAAAAAATTGAGTCAAAAGGTGGGTGATGCAGCAAATTAAATTTGTAGGATTTCTAGAAAGCAACCATAATCAAAACACCATGAATCTGAATCTATAGGTTATAGCTTCAGAAATAATCAGAAGAATATTTATAGCCTCCAATATATGTAACAAGTAAAACAGGACAGATAAAAATAAATATAAAGCACCAGGCTAAAAATGTTTGAAAAAGCATCACAAAATAAACAGGAAGAATAAAGAAAGAACTAGTAAATATTAAAACAGAAATAAGTTATCAAACAGATAAGCAGTAGGACTAAGAAATAAGGCAAAAAG